GTTTGTGTTGTGGAGGATTCGGTTTTGATTCATTTTGGTTGTTCACATAAATTAGCTCTTGCTTCTTTAAAGGAATATTTTGGGTTTAGTCGAATGAAACCGTATTGACGGCATTTGATTACAACAGAAAATAATGTTGCGTTCACGCCATGTCTTAACGTCTTAACCTAAGTCGCATTGTGGAACATCAAACTAAACAGAATGAGATCCAGCGAGAAAGTGTTTTAATTTGCAGCAGAATTAATAACCTTGCAGCGAAGTAGCATTAAAATTCAGCACAGAATTCTGTTATATCAGATCAAATCACACTGACGTGGAAACATATGAGCGAACCAGTTATAGAAGGCTTTACAATTCACAAATCACCATGGATTTCATGTAGTAACACCCACTGTAACCATGGTATTGTGGCAGAAATATTCGAATGTTTTTACATTATCCATTTCAGGGTTCAAACAGCCCTTTGAGAGTGAAATTCAAGGACTTTTCAAGTGCTTAACACAACTTTTTGTTAGAACTTAAAAGCTCTAAATACCATCCAATTTAAATGTTATTTTTAATGTGATGACCAAAAACACTATATTAGTTTCAAGATGTGGGAAAACTAACACTTGGTGGCAAATAAAAACTTTTATTTAAAATAAAAAGACTGCTATAACCAGTAGATGGCGACAGAGGAGCACATATAGTCTTATTAGCCATTTCCACTCCCTATATATATTTTTGCTTTTGTATAGACAATATGAAATCATTAATATGAAATCATCAAGAATTAAATTATCAATGTTTGGCACCTTTTGTACTGAAATATAAAGCAGGAACAGTCGAGGCCACGTGGTGAAAGTTGTAGCTCAAAGAAAATGTAACTTACACGTTTCAGAATCGTTACGGTAATGACGACATGGCGTGAACACACCTTCATTTCAACCTGAAAGTGTTCGTTTACGGTAAGCAACCGAGTTATATAAATCATTTCGAAATCATCCGTTGTTTTTGTTGGTTTATAACGTTATGACTTGAAAACGTCAAGCTTGTTGTACCTTTTTTACCTGCAAGATTTCTGTGGTGAACAAGTGTAAAAATAACCAAAAAAATGGCACCGGTGATGTCGGTCCAACAAAACTGAAAGCTTTATAAGACGTCGACGGCCTTATGATGGGAGGATCGTTTGCAATATGAAAGATGTCTGATCCAAAGAGTGAAATGAAGTATACAGAGCTGTTACCTCCAAAGATAGATACTATATATTTCTGTATATTTGAAAGAAAGTGCCAAAAGTATCGCATTTCAGCTTTACGTTAATTCTCTCATTCTAGTTCCGACGCTCAGGTTTTTGCGCGGTATTTTCTTTGCTAGGCCTCCATTTTAGATTGTAGTGACGAGGCGGGTGTGTGACGTGTGACGCACGCTAGAATCCAAAGAGTTGTTTACTTCTTTCACTGGGTTGAATTACGATTTCAACATCGAGTATGATTGTGATTGTGTGACTTTGAGTGTTTGTATGAAATGTGGCTGAACTACATTTGCTGTATTACTGTTGTCCGAACAATATTTTATAATGTGACTTGGGAAAAATATAATCAGAGTTTTGAAACAACCCTTTAGATCGAGGTGACACAAAATCATTTTTCAGAAAGCAAATTAAATCTATAACTTTACCAAAGATTGATACGGTCGCCCCTGTGTAGACTTGACTAGACTTTTGCTTTTGTAAAGTTGCATAATGTTTTGACTACGATCACACATCTTTAAACCTTCAGAAACCTGTTTTAACCCCTTTTTTAGCGTATTGAACATGTGTCGTGCCAAACCAATCTCAAACAATGTGAATTTACTCCTGATTGTAAAAAAAAATCACAAAGTCTTTGAATTAGGCCTGTAAATGCTTCAATATGCTGTGCTTTCCATTTTTTTTTTATTCTTAGGAGTGATTTTGAACTTGTCATTTGTGTTTAATGTTTTGTTTGTTCACATTGAAGGGTTTTGCTCATTGAATGTCCCTGAACAGCCAAAGAAATGTGTTTTATACTCTGAGTCAGGAACTTTAATGGACTTTTAGCATGATTTTTTTCCTGTTGAGTTATTATAATTTGTATTATGATTATTTAAGCCCCTCATGTTGAGCATGTTGTTCCAGTTTGATTCCATTACATGCCAAAAAGTGGTCAGAACAATGCACATTATAATAAAATATTTCTAAAAAAAAAAAAAACAGTTTGGCTCATTAATGTTGTTTTTAGTTAGTTAGAAATCACCCCTTTTGATGTCTTATGTAAACCCTACAAACAAGGGACGTCCCCCGGACTTTTCAAACGTCCCCTTAGGTCCGCATTAGGTCCGCTTTGTAACGTTCCCTAGCGGACGTTCGGAGGACGTCCGCACTTGGTCCCCTTTGTAACGTTCGCCGACGGACATTCCGATGACGTTCGCATTTGGTCCCCTTTGTAACGTTCGCGGACGGACATTCCGATGACGTTCGCATTTGGTCCGCTTTGTAACGTTCGCTGGCGGACATTCCGATGACGTTCGCATTTGGTCCGCTTTGTAACGTTCGCTGGCGGACATTCCGTTGACGTTCGCATTTGATCCATTCTATAACGTTCGCTGACGGACGTTCTGAGGACATTTGTCCGGGCCAGTTTGCGAACGTCCCTATTTCGTCCCTCACCTGGCATTTCCATGACAACACTTAACCAGTCGCCCATGTTTGCTATCATCAACTGAAACTTTACAACTCAGACAAACGAATAATTAAACTAAAATATAAATGCAAATATTTGCATTGATTGTAAAATTAAGTTAATGCTAAAATGTTAGTGTTTTAATGTTAAGATAATGTTCATGTTACTTCATGTAAATTCTAATCACTAATTAAAGATGTATACCACGAGTCTGTTTTCACCCGTTATAATTTAAACATCAAAAACATGACAATTGATTCAATTGAATATGAGCTATAATTTATAAAGGCTATTCACATGCACAGAGATTGAATCCCAGGAGCTAATGCATCGACTTCAAATGATGAATGCAGCCAAGGAAAACGTGAAGAATGGAAAAGTGGATAATAACAGGTAAGACAAATAAAAGTATCCTAAACATTTACCTGTCAAACTTTGGTCAGGAGAAGGTGACTGGTTTTATTAAAAATAATTTATTTTAGGAAAAATATTGTTATAATTATTGTACTTAAGACTGATAGCACATACAGAACAAATAACAAAAAACAAAACAAAAAAACATTGGAGAAACAAGCGAGTGATGATCAAATCATAGAATCAAATGCGGCTAAGCGAGTGACGTCATTCCTTATGTACGCGGTTTGTATCACAGTCTATGGTTTGTATCCATGGCAACGCTCAGCTGGGTAGCGTAGTGACAGTTAACGGTCCTTCTCAGACGCAGCCTTGTGTTTCCTCTGTCCGTCGTCTGTCTAAAAGGTATTTTTAATTATATTATTATAAATTAGTCACCATAACCACTGTCCATCTTCAAATTATATGAAAATGTTACCTTTTAAAACGTTTGCTGAAGTTGTCCGCAATGTACCGCTGATAACCGTTATATGCTAATATGAGTAGCAGCTACGAAGCTAACAGCTGAAAATGAGACAACATTTCACATATTGATAAAATCATAATGGAATATGTTCATTTTTGTTGTTTTAGGTAACGTTAGACGCCGAAGGGGGAGAGCCATCGGATTAATCCCACAGCTGACCGACAAACACACACACACACAGCTGCCAGCGCATTTGAAGACACACACACACGGAAATGCCACCTTTACAATTGTTTTAAATAAATAATGTACTTTGTACCTTACACCGCGTCTGTTTTCTTTGGTTAGCCAGAAGTAAAATAAAATAAAATGATATTCAGGGGACTAAACGCGAAAGTCTCATAAACGTCCCGGATGGCCGCTGGTGGTCCTGGGAACGTCCTCTTGAACGTCCGGAGGACGTCTTCGCGAATGTCCGCGGGACATCAAGCGGACTCCACATGGGGACGTTCGGGGGGACGTTCGCACAGGCCATTTAGGGGACGTTCTGGGGACCTTTTTTTGTTAGCTGGGAATGAGTTTAATGCCAGTGATATTTAATTTGAAGGCTATTATTATACTTAACTGCATTAAAATAATAGATTTTTCAAATATAGGACTTCTGTAAAGCAGTGATCAGAGAAACGAAGCTTTTCGAAACTATGAATCAAATCAACCGAAATGATTCACTCGAAACGCAACGCGCTGGCGACCCCTGCTGGTCAGAACAGTGTAAGTGCAATGAAAACTCATGCCAAAGATTTTACAAACCATATTTCATTGAAAGTGTATTAACAAATCATCTATTACATTTACCATTAAATATGAAGCGTCTGTATATAATATGTGTTATTTAATTAATTAAATTGTATGGCTTGTTTTGTATAGAGCTAGAGACAATCAACTAAAACGCTTCCTTTTTATTTTAGTTCTACAAATGTAGGCCTATCATTAAAAATGTCTACAAATGCATATATTTTTAAAAAGTAGGCCTATTATAAATAATAATATAAAGTAAAAAACAGCGGCGAAACATTGGAATTTTGAAACGTTTCGAAAACGTTCATCACTACTGAAAATATCTCCATTCATTACGATTTTACACGAAACCACTTAAAATTAAGCAATTTAAAACAATTTAGATATAAAGTGTCTGTCTGTCTAAAATTGGAATAATTCAAACAGAAAATAATAACAATAGCTTCGTTCAGTGTATTTCAAATAATCTTTTTTTAAATTTTGTCTGGTTAAATCTCGTATATAACTTTAAAAAAAACTTGTTGAAATGGGTCAAATTATTTCGATGAGTTAAAATAACAGGAAAACATATGTCGCCATGATTTATTACTCATATGATATTATATTGTACGCTCTAGTGTTAATGTGAGGTAATGCTACTCCAGGCGTCTTGGTGGCGCTAGAGCCTGTGCCCTGCGTGGTGACGTCATGCACCGGAAGTGGAAGGCAAGCGTCCTCTTTTCCGCCTGTGTTCGCAGCGCTGCGACACATGTGCGAGTTTAATAATAATAATTGATCAAAATGCGTATCGAGAAGTGTTATTTCTGCTCGGCCCCGGTTTATCCGGGTCACGGAATGATGTTTGTGCGGAACGACTGTAAGGTAACGTTAAACACTCGAGCGATTATTAATATTACTGGCGTGTGTGTGTTTGTGTTTATGTCAGACGGACGATGAGCGTCATTTCAACGAGTAGTTAACGATGCTTCATATTGTTTATTATTAAGGTATTAAATGTGAATTAGGTGTTTTTGAAAGAGTTCATTTATTGATATTTGCGTTTTTTATGAACGATTGTACGTGTCGACACTCGACTGTAACATTTCAATATCATAATACTACATGTAATGAAAAATGGGGATATGATGTTTTACATAATCTATAAAATAAGTTTACATAATAGATAACAATTTAACTAAATGAGTAATTTAATAAAATGTTATATAATTTTATATTATTTACTGCAGTCAACAAATTTTGGATCGGTTTTTGTTTTTAAACGATTCATCAAAGAATCCTGAAAAAAAATGTTTTCAACATTTATAATTATCATTAATGTTTCTTGAGCATCAGATCATCATATTAGAGTGATTTGTGAAGGATCATGTGACACTGAAGACTTGAGTAATGATGCTAAAAATTCAGCTTTGATCACAGGAATAAATGACACTTTACAATAGATTCACATCGAAAACAGATGATTTACATTATAATAATATTTCACAATTTTACTGTTTTGTTGTTGTATTTATAATCACATAAACAAAGCCTTGGTGAGCAGAAGAAACCTATTTTAAAGCATTAAATATCTTACAGATCCAAAACCTTTGACTGATAGTGTATATTATACTACAATTTTAATATATTCTCTCCATGATAATATCACGTCCAGAATAAGACACCTGCAGTGTTTGCACGTTCTCAGTCTGTGTTTGTCAGTGTGAATCCTGAACGGTTTGTGGTTTTGAAGTCTTTCAGGTTCTGCAGATCCAAATGCCACAGAAACTTCAAGAAGAAGCGAAACCCGAGAAAGACCAGATGGACCAAAGCGTTCAGGAAATCAGCGGGCAAAGAGCTGACGCTGGTGAGAGACCGACACACACACCTTTGTTTCAGCTGTTATGTGAGGCACTTGAGGCTGTCACTTTTGTGAAAATCCACGAGTGATTTCTTCATGACACAGCCGTTATGATATGCATATTGCGATATATATACACACACATTTGTGATATTTTGATTATTGTGATATATTGTGCAGCCCTACCGTGTTTTATTATGAATAAAATACCGCTATTGACCAATCAGAATCCAGGATTGTAACTAACCGTCTTCTAGAGTGTAATAAATGCTGGTGTTTGTGTTTGGCAGGATAACGCGCTGGAGTTCGAGAAGCGCAGGAATATTCCCGTCAAATACAACCGAGAGCTCTGGAGCAAGACGAGTGAGTGTGCCGGCTTTATCGTGTGATAATGACGTAAAACTGATCATCTCTTAACCTGAACCGTATGTGTGTGTGTTGAACAGTGGAGGCGATGAAGAAGGTCGAAGTTATCAAGACCAAGCGCCAGGCTCGGTTTATCATCAACAGGTGAGTGCATATTCACATCATATTCTCAACATATTCACATCTGTGTTTGCCTTGTTTTTCTGAAATTTAGGGGCAACATTTTCATGCCTGTTTTGGGATGTTGCAACTTGCAGAGATTCGCTTAAATTCCAAACGTGTTCGTAAACACTTATTTGATAAATGATAATGAGGTGCATGTCTCTTTAAATGGGGTGTTGAATGGCTGAGGTCAGAAATATGCTAATATGGGGAATATGCTAGTCTGTCAGTGGTTTGATCGCTCTGTTTGCTTGACATTTCCATAAACATTTCCATAAACATTTCCATATTTGCGCAGGTTGAAGAAAGGCAAAGAGCTGGGCAGGGTGGCCGTTATCAGCGAAGTCAAGAAAAACATTCACCTCATCAAAGCTCCACACGCAGGTAAACACACACTGGTCACACACACACTCCAGAGGTTTTGACAAAATATTGCAGTTTACCAAAAAAAAATGTAGTTATTATTTTAGTCAGGTTGTGTGAATGATTCAACAGCTCGCTTATAAACCAGGGTTTAACCGCATGTTCAGCTTTAATATATCGGACAAATTTTCTTATGGAGCCGATACCGATATATCGTGCATCCTTATTAGAAATGCTTTACTTGTTTTATTACCGGATGAAAGCATTACTGTTGTATTGGATCTGCATTTTTGACTGAAACTCCAGGGAATGATTCGATGGCAAATACATTTTTAAGTCACTTGTCGCCACCTAACTGGCGCAGTCGTTATCTGAAACTGGTCATTACTGTAGACACCAGTGTTTATATTCGGATTATAACCTTCTGTGGTTACTTGAATGATTGTAAGACAGACATAATGATTCTGTGTGGTTGAAAAGACTGTCATACCTTTACATGACGCTTCTCTCTCCGGATCAGAACACAGATCTGAGCGTTAAAGTGTGATTTTGTTTGAGAGACCGAGCCGAATCTGTCATTTAGGACTGGGACTTAGTGGTGTTTGAATCGAGATCGCCATGTTTTAAAGATTAATATGCAGCTCGACACTTCTGCCGTCTGTCATCAGGTCAAGCCAAACGGCTGGAGGACAAGATGGTCCAGAAACTGGCAGAGGACGTGCACATGGATGAGTGAACACTTTACTTCTGGACTTTCAGAAGCTTTCTGCTGAAATATTGAGAATCCTGATCTATATTGATCAGAATCCAGACGGAGTCAACGGGACTTATTTACATGTTCCCTCTGGAATAATCCTTCCTTTTGCTCTAGGGGCCGAAGATTATTATGGACATAAAGCTTTGTGTGTTGTAAGTGTCCATATAACTGAACATCAACACTTCAACTCTATGGAATTTGTGCAAAATATGAATTCCAATAAAAAAAAAAAAACGTAAACATTTATTTTTCATGTTTGTAAATGTCTAGTTGCAACCGAAATACCGTCATATATATGAAGTTTAATAGAGGGAAATCAACAGGAGCAAAGGTAGAAGCAAATTTAGCAGTTTCAAAAATTGGTTCATATTTCCAGTTACTGAATAAATGTCGACATGTTAGAATGTAGAAAAGTTTATATTCATCCTGACCCCTGAGATCAAGAAAAGGAAGCAAGACCAGATGCAGAAAGTCAAATATATGAAGTTTAATAAAGGGAAATCAACAGGGACATTTTTTTTTTTTGCATAGCAATGGTAAAAGCAAAATTAGCAGCTTCATAAAATGGTTCATATTTCCAGTTCCTGAATAAATGTTGACATGTGAGAATGTAGAAATGAAATTCTGAGAGATTATATTCATTATGATCCCTAAGATCAAGGAAAAGAAGCGAAACCGGATATTAAACAAACCGAAAAAAGATAAAAGTTTAAGGCAGGCAACAAATACACATTTTTAACACCGCGGCATAATTTACAGATGATTTGAATGATAAACATTATGTAACACTTTACACACGTTCAGTGTAAAATAAGACGTCACATTACACAGTTATTGTTGCAAATTCAATAAAGCACAAATTATCAAAAACTGTTTTGAAAAATTATATGAAACATAATTAAATAATAAAAAAAAAAAAATTTATTGCACCACTAAGGCATTATTTCTATTCTGGAAGTGTTAAAAGGATACTCCACTTTTTTTTTGGAAATATGCTCATTTTACATCTCCCCCAGGTTTAAACAGTTGGGTTTTACCGTTTTTGAATGCATTCAGTCGATTTTCTGATATTTAGAAGAATATCAGTAACCAGACAGTTTCTGCTCTCATTGACTTCTATAGTGTTGTGGAAGTCAATGAGAGCAGAAACTGTCTGTATATAATATATGAACTAATGTACTGTAATTTATGGAGATGATTTGCCCCAAAAAACGTAACTTTTCGTTATAAAACCACAGGTGAAACTCGAGAAATGAAAATATGGTGCAAAAGTTGGTGCATTTCAATAATTCAACTTAAAAGCTGAAACTAATATATCATATAGGTTCATTACATGCAAAGTGAGATATTTCAAGCTCACAGCTTATGAAAACACCAAAGTCAAAATTAGACTATTGTTAAAAGGTTTTCATAAGCTGTATAATCCTCACAATTCTAACAAATAAAGGCTTGAAATATCTCACTTCGCTTGTAATGAGTCTATATGATATATTAGTTTCAGCTTTTAAGTTGAATTACTGAAATTAACTTTTGCACCATAAGGCACGGCACTGTGAAAAAGAAACTTAAAATGAAGGCGGCACAAACACTTTAAGTTTAACCAACTGGAGACTTGGATATTTGAGTTGACTAAACTTAAAAAAGTTTTCATGCTGCATTGCATTTTTAAAAAGAAACAACGTCTTTTTTTTCTATTCTGGGACTGTTATATATATATATATATATATATATATATGTGTGTGTATAACCGGTGAGTGTTGCATCATCTGAGTGTGGTGGTGTGCTTCCACACGAGGCTCTCGCAGGGGTCCCACACGCGGTAAAGCTCCTGCAGGGTCCTGGCGTCCTCCGTGGCGTCGTGCGCGCCGTACGGCTCCCGCAGGAAGTGCTCCACGAGGTAGGGCTGGGAGTATTTCTGCAGCTGGAACATGTCTCTGCTCAGCGTCAGCGTGTCCACGCAGCCTGACACCACGCGCCGGAACTCCTCCAGCAGGGCGAACTCCTCCAGGACCCGCCGCAGGATCGGCCAGTCGAAGCGCCGGCTGTTGTGGCCCACCAGGAAGGGCCTGTTGAAGGTCCTGAGGAACGAGATGAAGTCGGCAAGGGCGCGTGCGTGTGGGACGGTGGGGACGGGACGGCGGTGGAAGAGCAGTGATTGGCCGGAGACCGTGAGACCCGTGACCTGGGACGCCCCGTCAGTGATGCTGCAGCGGGGCAGGAGGTACGCGTTAAACGTCTGGTTCCCGCTGAGGGCCGACAGCTGCACGATGTCACACGCGGACGTGTCTGAGGACAGGGGAAACACAATACCATTAATATCATACTTATTTTTTTAAACAGTATTTTACTGTAGAATTACATGCATTGTATTTTAAAAATCTTTTTTTATTATACTGTAGTTAACCAACTAATTTTCTTTAGGCATTAGCGGATGGCATTATGATATATTTTATAATTTTGTTTCTTACAATATTTTACAGTAGAATAATGAAAATAAAACCATCTCGAGATTAAAGTCATTATAATGTGAAATTAAACTAGTTAAATTAAGAGTAAAAAAAAAGTCAAAATACAATCTTGAGAATAGTCGTCGTTTTTCAAGAAAAAAAATCGTAATGAAATGTAGAGAATAATGCATTGGATCAGTGTTCATTGCTTTCTGATAGAGGACATGACAGTTGATCACTTTGTCAAGTTGTATAACAAAGAAATCAACTTTAGCTAATTATGACAGAATAATAGTTAGCACATGAACTTTAAAGAGAATTTGCTCTAATCTTTTTTTTAATAGGATATTTTACTGTAGAATTAGATGCATTGGACTTTTAAATATATTTCCACTTATTTTTATTAGATATTATAATTAGTTTCTAATTAGTTTAAAGTATGAAAAATAGTCACCCAGTATAGCTATATCTAATTACTATTGCCGATAGTACATATGAATGTATGTATATATATGAAGAGTTCAGATGCAAAAGCCTCTATGTGACATTTGAAATTTTCTTTTAAAATTATAATTTATCAAGCTTGTATGAAGATTACCTATTAATTGTCATTTAAGTGAAATTACTGAACTTAAATATATAAGCTTGATAAAAATGACCATTCTAGAAGAAAATTTTAAGTGGCATTTAGAGGCTTTTGCATCTGAACTCTTCATATATATAATATATATATATATATCACATACATGAATGAATGAAAAATATAATATTTTAATATTTACTCAATATATCCATCTATAAAAAGGAATATGGTTATGGCGTACAGATATGAAACCTTTGGGTTTTCATAAGCTGTAAATTATAATCATCAAAATAACAAAAAAAGCTTGAAATATCTCACTTCGCTTTAATGAGTCTATATAATATATTAGTTTCACCTTTTAGGTTGAACCACTGAAATAAATTAACTTTTGCACGATATTCTCATTTTTCGAGTTTCACCTGTAAAGCTGAACAGATTATTGGTCGCATGAAAGTGACACCTGACCTGTGTAGTCTAAAAATGGCAAACAAACATCATATGATCATGTAAAGCTGTAGAGTGTGTGTGAGAGAGTTAGCTATACCCAGTCCAGTTGTTTCCAGGTCAAAAAACACCGGCGTCGCTTCGTCGTTTCTCATGGCTTTAACGTTATCTGTCAAAAACCAGTACAGTTCATTATGCTTTATTAGTGTTGTTACGAAAGTTACGTCTTGTGTCAGCATAGTGAATCTCGGTGACACAAACAACAGCCTTTATAACCCTTAATCATAGAACAGAGCTTTAGTTTGAAACATATTGAACAAATATTAAAGGAGAAATCACGCGAACTCACCGCTCGGGCTCGCGCACCGGAACAGCCTCAGCAGTGCTCGCGTCAGTCGCGTGACCGCGGTTATCAACCACATGAGCAGATCGATAAGCGATAGTGTGGGTTTATTTCCCGCAGATTCTACGCGTTTAGACTCTTTCATTTCGTCGTTCGGATCGGTTTCGTTTCTCTTGAACCTCCTCAGCGATCACATTCACTTTTAATATGAGCACTGATGACGAATCCATGAGCAATGAGCGCTCCGCCCTGACGAGGACAGCAAAGACCGCAAACGCTCACCATGGCTGAAGTTTGAATGGAGAAAATTGAAAATTGGAGAAACTTATTTTTTCGCACGAAAAAAAAAAAAACGACAGTGGTACCCCTTTCGTTTTTGTGTGCAGAAAAAAATAAGTTACTACAATCTTCTTGAAACTCTTTATTCTGATAGAGGGCCATGGGACTTAGACCTGAGTGCCAAAATGGAGGCTCCGTCTAGCCCCTTCCAGAGCTGAGATATTGAGATCCCACGTAGCATTTATGCCATTATATCTCAATATCTCAGCTCTGGAAGGGTCTAGGGCCTCCATTTTTGCACTCAGGTCTAAGTCTCATGGCCCTCTATCAGAATCCAGAGTTTTGAGAAGATTGGAGAAACTTATTTTTTGCACAAAAAACAAAAGGGGTATCACTGTCGTTTTTGTTTGTTTTTTTGGTGCGAAAAAATAATTTTCTCCAATCTTCTTGAAACTCTGCATTCTGATAGAGGGCCATGGGACTTAGACCTGAGTGCCAAAATGGAGGCTCTTGACCGTTCCGGAGCTGAGATATTGAGATCCCATGTAGCATTTATGCCATTATAAATATCTCAGCTCTGGAAGAGGCTAGGGCCTTCATTTCTGCACTCAGGTCTAAGTCCCATGGCCCTCTATCAGAATCCAGAGTTTCAAGAGAATTGGAGAAACGTACTTTTTCGCACCAAAAAAAAAAAAAAAAAAAAAGAAGAAAGGGGTACCACTGTCTTTTTTTTTTTTTTTTGGTGTGAAAAAATAATTTTCTCCAATCTTCTTGAAACTCTGGATTCTGATAGAGGGCCACGAGACTTTGACCTGAGTGCAAAAATGGAGGCTCTAGACCCTTCCAGAGCTGAAATATCGAAATTCAAAATTTCGACCCGAAAAAAAATACGACAGTGTTACCCCTTTCGTTTTTTTTTTCGTTTTCGGGCGAAAAATTAAGTTTCTCCAATCTTCACAAAACTCTGGATTCTGATAGAGGGCCATGAGACTTACACCTGAGTGCAAAAATGGAGGCTCTAGACCCTTCCAGAGCTGAGATATCGAAACTCAAAATTTCGACCCGAAAAAAAAAACAAGAGTGTTACCCCTTACGTTTTTTTTTTTGGGCGAAAAATTTAGTATTCCCCAATTCTTCTCGAAAACTCTGGATTCTGATAGAGGGCACTGAGACTTTACACCTGAGTGCAAAAATGGAGGCTCTAGACCCTTCCAGAGCTGAGATATCGAAACTCAAAATTTCGACCCGAAAAAAAAACGACAGTGTTACCCCTTACGTTTTTTTTTTTTGGGGCGAAAAAACTAAGTATCCCCAATCTTCTCGAAACTCTGGATTCTGATAGAGGGCACTGAGACTTACACCTGAGTGCAAAAATGGAGGCTCTAGACCCTTCCAGAGCTGAGATATCGAAACTCAAAAATTTCGACCCGAAAAAAAAAACGACAGTGTTACCCCTTACGTTTTTTTTTTGGGCGAAAAATTAAGTATCCCCAATCTTCTCGAAACTCTGGATTCTGATAGAGGGCCACTGAGACTTACACCTGAGTGCAAAAATGGAGGCTCTAGACCCTTCCAGAGCTGAGATATCGAAACTCAAAATTTCGACCCGAAAAAAAACGACAGTGTTACCCCTTACGTTTTTTTGGGGGCGAAAAATTAAGTATCCCCAATCTTCTCGAAACTCTGGATTCTGATAGAGGGCACTGAGACTTACACCTGAGTGCAAAAATGGAGGCTCTAGACCCTTCCAGAGCTGAGATATCGAAACTCAAAATTTCGACCCGAAAAAAAAACGACAGTGTTACCCCTTACGTTTTTTTTTTTGGGGCGAAAAAATTAAGTTTCCCCAATCTTCTCGAAACTCTGGATTCTGATAGAGGGCACTGAGACTTACACCTGAGTGCAAAAATGGAGGCTCTAGACCCTTCCAGAGCTGAGATATCGAAACTCAAAATTTCGACCCGAAAAAAAAAACGACAGTGTTACCCCTTACGTTTTTTTTTTTGGGGGCGGAAAATTAAGTATCCCCAATCTTCTCGAAACTCTGGATTCTGATAAAGGGCCACTGAGACTTACACCTGAGTGCAAAAATGGAGGCTCTAGACCCTTTCCAGAGCTGAGATATCGAAACTCAAAATTTCGACCCGAAAAAAAAACGACAGTGTTACCCCTTACGTTTTTTTTTTTGGGCGAAAAATTAAGTATCCCAATCTTTTTGAAACTCTGGATTCTGATAGAGGGCACTGAGACTTACACCTGAGTGCAAAAATGGACTAGCCCTCTGAGATATCGAAACTCAAAATTTCGACCCGAAAAAAAAAACGACAGTTGTTACCCCTTACGTTTTTTTTTGGGGGGCGAAAAATTAAGTATCCCCAATCTTCTCGAAACTCTGGATTCTGATAGAGGGCACTGAGACTTACACCTGAGTGCAAAAATGGAGGCTCTAGACCCTTCCAGAGCTGAGATATCGAAACTCAAAATTTCGACCCGAAAAAAAAACGACAGTGTTACCCCTTACGTTTTTTTTTTGGGGGCGAAAAATTAAGTATCCCCAATCTTCTCAAAACTCTGGATTCTGATAGAGGGCCACTGAGACTTACACCTGAGTGCAAAAATGGAGGCTCTAGACCCTTCCAGAGCTGAGATATCGAAACTCAAAATTTCGACCCGAAAAAAAAAACGACAGTGTTACCCCTTACGTTTTTTTTTTTGGGCGAAAAATTAAGTATCCCCAATCTTCTCAAAACTCTGGATTCTGATAGAGGCCACTGAGACTTACACCTGAGTGCAAAAATGGAGGCTCTAGACCCTTCCAGAGCTGAGATATCGAAACTCAAAATTTTCGACCCGAAAAAAAAACGACAGTGTTACCCCTTACGTTTTTTTTGGGGCGAAAAATTAAGTATCCCCAATCTTCTCGAAACTCTGGATTCTGATAGAGGGCACTGAGACTTACACCTGAGTGCAAAAATGGAGGCTCTAGACCCTTCCAGAGCTGAGATATCGAAACTTCAAAATTTCGACCGAAAAAAAAAAACGACAGTGTTACCCCTTACGTTTTTTTTTGGGGGCGAAAAATTAAGTTTCCCCAATCTTCTCAAAACTCTGGATTCTGATAGAGGGCACTGAGACTTGCACCTGAGTGCAAAAATGGAGGCTCTAGACCCTTCCAGAGCTGAGATATCGAAACTCAAAATTTCGACCCGAAAAAAAAACGACAGTGTTACCCCCTTACGTTTTTTTTTTTGGGCGAAAAATTAAGTATCCCCAATCTTCTCGAAAACTCTGGATTCTGATAGAGGGCACTGAGACTTACACCTGAGCGTGCAAAAATGGAGGCTCTAGACCCTTCCAGAGCTGAGATATCGAAACTCAAAATTTCGACCCGAAAAAAAAACGACAGTGTTACCCCTTACGTTTTTTTTTTTTGGGCGAAAAATTAAGTATCCCCAATCTTCTCAAAACTCTGGATTCTGATAGAGGGCACTGAGACTTACCACCTGAGTGCAAAAATGGAGGCTCTAGACCCTTCCAGAGCTGAGATATCGAAACTCAAAATTTCGACCCGAAAAAAAAAACGACAGTGTTACCCTTACGTTTTTTTGGGGGCGAAAAAATAAGTATCCCCAATCTTCTCGAAACTCTGGATTCTGATAGAGGGCCACGAGACTTACACCTGAGTGCAAAAATGGAGGCTCTAGACCCTTCCAGAGCTGAGATATCGAAACTCAAATTTCGACCCGAAAAAAAAAACGACAGTGTTACCCCTTACGTTTTTTTTTGGGGGGCGAAAAATTAAGTATCCCCAATCTTCTCGAAACTCTGGATTCTGATAGGAGGCACTGAGACTTACACCTGAGTGCAAAAAATGGAGGCTCTAGACCCTTCCAGAGCTGAGATATCGAAACTCAAAATTTTTTCGACCGAAAAAAAAAACGACAGTGTTACCCCTTACGTTTTTTTTGGGCAGGCGAAAATTCAAGTATCCTCCAATCTTCTCAAAACTCTGGATTCTGATAGAGGGCACTAGACTTACACCTGAGTGCAAAATGGAGGCTCTAGACCCTTCCAGAGCTGAGGATATCGAAACTCAAAATTTCGACCCGAAAAAAAAAACGACAGTGTTACCC